TGCCTTGCTTCAGGTACCGTTTTGTAGAGCTGGCTTCAACTTAGATTTGCAGTATAGAACGAATCACTCATTTCTCTTCATTACTGTAGGATTACGGTAGAAACTTCAAGGAGGGTTTTAAGCAATGAAAGGCCATATTTTGCCCCAGAAAGGAAACAAAACAGCCTTAAAACTTTTACACTAGGCTAATTAGAGTTGCTGATTATAACTGTAAAGTTCCCAACTTATTATGATGCTTCATTGAAGAGTTATGCCAGGTAAGAAGTAGCGGCCATTTTTTCAATGTTCCTAAAAAGTGGGATTGCACCGTTTAGAAAGCTTCGTAATCTTGTGAATAGTTAATTATTGAACTCAGCGTCCATAAAAACCCTATTACACAAGTTTTCACGATTTTTTGAAAAATTTTGAAACGGCAGCTTTTTTCACATTAACACCATATGTTTCAAGTTTCTACCGTAATCCTACAGTAATGAAGAGAGATGAATGATTCGTTCCATAGTGCAAATCTAAGTTGAAGCCAGCTCTACAAAACGGTACCTAAAGCAAGGCAAAAGACTTCTTGGGAAGAGAGTTATTAACGATCAAACGTTCGATACATACTTTTGGGACACCCTGTATGTCAGATCGAATGCACTTTTCTGCAATTTTTAAATGCAGATTCTATTTGAAGAGCAGCAGCAGGGTTTTTATTTGAAAATATCAATTTCCTAATAACTTCTCACTCGCATATCTTTTATCAGACACAGCAGCACTTTCAATATAAATATCAGACCCCGTGCCGTGCTGTGCAATTGCAAAAAATCGCTCTTTGGAAACATCCGTCTAGTCCACATACGTTGCTTCCTTTCTCCCCCCCCCCCCCCCGCCCCGTCCCCCCAATTAGAATTTGCGAAAAATCTGCAATAACAAGATCTCCCCTTATCCAAGGCCGGATCGGTGTTATTCCACACAAAATCATCAATTTTCAAACAACTTCAGTTCTTTGATGCTGCACTGGCTGGCGCTACCGTAGCGAGTGCGATGTTGACGCGATTCTAGGGCGAGACATGTGGGGATAGCAAGTGGATGTGGATCGTTTTTCCTTGTGAGTGTGTGTGTGTTCGCGACCAGTCCCGTGCATAGTGCCCTCTTTTAGGCTGTTGTTTTTGTCGGCGAGTTCCGCATTTTGCAACAAATGCTCCATGGAGCATTTGTGCCAATCCTAGCACATCGATCCCACGCGCGCGCCCGCACTCGCCGTATGCAGAATTTTTGCGCGCTTGGCGTTGCAGCCGAGCGCATTTTTTTGCGAGTTTTTGCGCGCCTTCAACCAAGCTGCAGCTTGCTCCCGCGCGCTCCTCGTCTGCAAAGTTCTGCAAAAATGCGTTGTTGTGTCCGCGGTGCTTGCATTTGCTTTCGCTCTCTCCACACCACTCGCTCGCTCACACTGACGTCGTCGTCGCCGATGTCAGCTGACTGCAATGAGATGCCGCGGCCGTGCCGGCCTCTCTGGATTCGTCCTGATATTTTTCGCCCGCTTCGCACCCCCCCCCCCCCGTCCCCCCGTCCCCCACCCCTCTCGATTGCAGCCGCTCGCTTGCGCTCGAATTGTTGTGGTGAATAGCGATATGTGGCCATTGCCCACTTTTTTCTACCGCGTTAATGTATGACAGTTGGATTGAATGCCATTTCGCTCTTACTTCCTGGTGCTGTGCTACGTATGCGAGCTTGGTATAGGTATAGTACCCCAGAAAATTACATGCGGCCATTTTTTTCAATGACGATTTTAAGATATAGAAAAGGCTCATTTTGTCCTAGCGTACATGAGCAGTAGTTTACAATTTTCCGATTCTTTTCGTCTTTCTCCTAAATGGAAGCCAGCAAGTGACTGCAATGGCTGTCCAATTCCTTTACTTTTACTTCATATAAAATAGTTTTACTTGTTTTACTCCGTTTCGTCTCTTTCCTTAGACGGAGTTTTGAGATCTGCACCCTCTCCGAGACTCATCAGTAAGGAGAGAGGGTTTAGTTTACTTTACAAAAGATTTTGGGAAAAAAATTTCAAAGCCTATCTTCTGTATTCCATGGTTGCATTCATGTGCATTGTGGCTTAAATATACAAAAAATACTAGTAGAAGAATAACAAGTAAAAATTATGTTTGCTGCAAAAATTTACATTTCAGTTGCTTAGATTGTTATTGGCGTTTTAGATCATAGCATACTATAAAAATTTTCATGTTTGCACTATTTACAATTTTTAATATGTAGAAGTAAAAGGGTCTCTTGAACAGAGAAAGAAACTTCTTAACAAAAATTTTGAAGCGAGAATTAAAGAGGTATATGTCTAAAAGCTCAGCGGCACTTCTAGGCATGCTCATATTTCACATTTATAAAATGCAAAAGAAAAACCGAGACGTTTGAAAATGCTGCAAATGCAGCATAGAATTTGGCATGCAGTGCTACAGTATCCAAGGGAAAACTCTTGTGTATTGAGACGCTCAAGTTTCCTATGTCCTGTTAAAAATGTCCTACCTCTTGAAAATCTCACAAGTTATTCCTCTGGGGTAGCACTTTTTGTCAGTTGGGACAATTTTATGGCCAAAGAAGTTATAAAATATCCTAAGCTAATTTGATGCGTGAATTCTAGACATCGTTTCTTGAAATCTCGTTGGATCTGACTACGGGGCGCTAATCCATCTTTGATGAAAAATCCGGTAATAGTAGATTCCAGAATAAGCTGAGTTATTCATTGTTATCTGTTGATTCAGAAATTCATACATATTACTGAAATATCATGGAACATCGAAAAAATGTAAAAAAAGGACTCACTGTTTACTTGCGATTTTGTGAAGCCGCACAGAATTTGTACTGCTTTTTTGATTCTGTGATTTTGTGAGCGTACAATATTTGTACTGCTTTTTTGATTTTTGTCACATGTTCTATGCATCAAAACGAGGTAAACATATTTTTCTTTACCTTTCCTAGACTTAATCAACACCATATAGTACTTGGAAATATCATGGGTCCATTCATAGTCCGCCATAACATCTGCAAAAAATGGCTGAGTAAAGAAGAACTATGCGTATCAGCTTCACATTAGACTCCCCAAGTCTAGCCAAAAATAGTTTTGTTTTTATAGGAGGGTGGAGAAATCTCTGCACTTTCCCTTTGCAGTCGCGAGACGCTTTGCTTGCCCCTAAATCCCCTCCCCCATAGAAAAAGCTTTCTTAGTAAAGCTTGTGTTCATTCCTTGTGCGGAGCGACCCGTTTTGGAAGGTGGACATGGTGTCGATTTTATCTTAAAGGCCTTGTAGCGATCTTTTGGTCATAAATCTTTGTCCACGTAGTGATAAGCCGTTGGTGTGCGAAACTTGATAGAGAAAAAAGCACGTGCTAGGCCCTAATGTTTGCCCCTACAATTGGCTATTTTGCCCTGTTCTCGGTTTCTTTGAATTAAAGGACTCATCGTAGATCAAAAGACTTCCGCCTTCAAGTAGTTGCCTTGTAATTTTTCCTCGAATTTTTTTCTTGCTATTATTCAGCGTCCAGTCATCAAAAACATAATAGAATGTAACACAAAAGAATTCGCAAAGCATTTGCAATATGTCTTTTGACTTCTTCTTTCTCCCACGCCGATCCGGAGAAAATTACAACTTCGCCATTTTCTTGGAAGCACTGACGAAAGCGCTGTTTTTGCACTTTCTGTTTACATGTTTCGTGGGCAGATGGATTTGACATCACTCTTGGGGTTTGTGCAGCCCCTCACTCGCTCACTCACTCGTTCACTGTGTCGAATTAATCAGATAAGCACAAGCACGGACTGATATTGACAGTTTCTAGCACTCCTCTCTAGAAACCGGTTATCTTATATCGATCGTATTGATTGGAAATCATTGTGCAGTTTTAGTGTCTACCGCATCGCATATGAATTTCAAAAAGTTATGTCTTACTTTTGCTGCAATTTCAAGACCTACAAATTTTTCGAATATCATAATAACTTTCTCAAATTTGCGCTCTTTTGTTTTGTTTATTGATACGATCTATATAGAATGAGAGAAAAAAAACTTATCTATTGCATTTTTGGGCATCTATCGACTCAGCTGTCATTATTTATTTCACTCTTGAGATCTTGAAATTAATTCACAATTTGGTTAATGTGTTTGCTTCAAAATTTTTAGATTCTCAAAGTTTTTTTTGCGTTTTTACTTTTTAAAATTTTTCTATACTTCTAAATATTTACGAAACTGTTCAGACTGGAATAACTATTGATTTAATTCTTAGGATAATAATTGCTTCAAACTAGCAAGCAGCCTTCAAGGAAAGTAATGGATCTCCCGCCTTTCAATTTTTCGTGGATCTATTATTTTGGAGCATTATATACCTTTTACTTCGTTTTCATCCCTCAAGCTTCAGTATGTGCAGCTTTACTGAGTTCTACGAAATAATTTCGTTTCAGTAAAAAAGTCCACAAAAACGCAAAAATACAGACTACATAGAGGTTCAGAGTAGTGCAATTGTCAGCATTCCCATTTTTCAAATTTGCAACTATTGTCGAAGACTTACGTACAATATGATGCGAGCTGTAACAATTTCCTTTTGTCATGGAATTTTGTAAATTTCTCTGACGTTTACCATTCAAAAAACATAACTACATATTTCCCTGCAAAGCCATGCAATTGCAAATTCCTCGGTACGTCTTCTAATCGCGCACGCATTTATCATCATACATATCATGCAAACTCGTCCACTTGTCCGCTAGGTCAAGGCTTTTTCTGTTTTAGCTCAATAAATTTACTACTAGGGGCTTTGCAGATCTCAATTTTGCAGTGAAACTGCATTTTTCCCCCTGCAAAACTACAAAAATCCGCGCAAATTCTCCGCTACGCGTCCTTAAATGTCGCGCGCAAATTCGTCATACTCAAACACTATCAAACTCGTCCACTCGTCCGAAAAGTGTCCGAATTCCTTGCGCTAGGTCAAGCATTTTCGAAATCGTTGCTAATTGAACTCGATTTTTTCAGTCAACTACGGTCACCAAGATTTGTCGACCAAATACTCGGTGCACAACCAAGAAGCGTGCACCCGTACACCCCACCACCAATCCTGACTCCAATGCGTAACGGTTCAGGCCTGTTCTGGCAGATCGCCAAGAATTTGGGACATCCTGGACAGGTACGGTAGCTATATCCTGGGTTACTGTAGCTGTAATCAATAACATATGTTCTCTAAGAAAATGTGTATTACAGGCAGCTCCGTCGACTTGCGGACGAGGAGGAGATGCGCACAACGGGCATGCGCCAGGTACCGTATGACACCACCAGTAGTTGATTATCGATTGATTTTTTGGTATAGAAATCACTAGAAGAATGTGATGAACGGGGAGCCGGGGGCTACCGCTGCTGATGCCCCTGTCGGTCCTTCCTGTGTCAATCTAACTGACCATTTGTGTATGGTTTTCTAGAATGTTCGTACAGCTGCACCCTCATCGTCCACACCGCATTGCAATTCGCAAATCTGCCGCGTGTTGGTCGCGTGTTATTTGCTGGGATTCCGCGTTTTTCTGACCTTTTTCGAATCATTTAGCTTTTCACCTGTCCGACCGCTGTCGGCTGACTTTGTGTCTGCATTTGGAAATTAATAATTTCATTAAATTTCATTAATTGCGCCGTTTGTCATACGTGTATGATTTTGAAATTTTGCGGATTTTTTTGAAATCGGCCCTTGAAATTTCCACTCTTCTTTGCAAGTCAACTTCTTCTGTAAATATTTTTCATCATACTAAAAATACATCCGGTAGAAATACTTTTTTGCACTAATTTTCCAGTATTTACTTGCTTATCCAGTTTCTATTAGGCATCAGAAACCATCAATGAAATCCCCGCTTTATCCATAATCGGCAGTTTCTAAAATTTCGTAACTTTTTTCATTTTGCGCCAAGCCTTCATCATACCGACCGTATGCTTCAAAATCAGCTGCTCTGCTGGTCAGTGGTGTAGTTCTGAGCTCTGAGGTGTTATGAAACTTCCTTCTACGTCTTTGCTCTGGAAGGTTGGGAAACGTCATCCACTTACTCAAATGGAAATGCCACTTTTTGGCAAAGGTTGGGAAATCATGCATTCGGTGTGTGGGAGTATAATTTTTGTTTCCTTTTTATAATAGTTGTTGAATCGCAAAATCGAAAGTCAATTAATGATGCAAAGTACATTAAAAACGTCCCTCTTTTATTGGAAAGATTTTTTACCGCTTTTCTTGCAGTTTTATGCCTATGATTGAATGACTTGAGTAATTTATTTAGGAGAATAAAAGGATTTGTAAGTCTTTTGCTTCTTACTTATGAGGATTGCATTTTTCCAATACTAGGAAAATAGAAAATCCTGCTTCATTTTGAGTATTCGAGAGCAGCATTGGAATTTGGTCAATGTCATACGAATCGCTTCTTTTTTCAAAGAGGAACCTTTTGAATGATCTTCCATTTTTCTGCAAAAATGATCAACTCGATGATTTTTCTGCTTGACATATGCATTTTTAGCTAGCTCTAAAAAATGGGGTCAAATAAAGTTTAAATCGCTAGGGACTAAAAGAAAATAGGGTATGAGTAAATTAGTAATTCTCTTTTCTCCGAATCTGAGCTTGATATCGTAAATCAAATTGTTAATACCTGTCAAGTCCAAATTGGTGTGATGAATTTTTGAACTAGAAAACAAAGTAATTGACCAACTTTGCCATTTCATCAGCTCTTTCAAACCCACTGTTTTACTTATTATGTTTCTGCAGCTCATTCTAACTCATATGGCGTTTTTTAGCGTTTTCTAGAAATTTTATGAGTTCTAAAAACTCGAAGAAAATTTTGTATAGTTGAGCTGAAAATCTTTTTTATGTGGTCCTTTGAAACCCGACACATCTGCATGACATCTGCATCACCTTTGCAAAGCAGAAAAGAAACACTTGTGCACAAGCAGGAAGTATAATTTTGTTGACCCGTTCCATATGTACGACATTTGACAGTTGCTATCAGCTATTAGACGTTTTTCTGCAGCTTTAGCAGTACTTTTTATCCATTGGAATTTGTACCTTTTGCAAAGAAAACAACACATGTGCTTTATGCTGAATTTTTATGGGTTTTTTATGCTTAGTTATCACCTGATTTCGTTTTTTGGTGCTTCTTTTTTTATCTACTCTGACGTGAAAGGAGAAAGTGACATTATTTCTTTGAAAAAATTGTCTGGATACGAGCTAATCTAGCATCATCTAGCTAGGTACAAATGTCATATGAGGAAAAAAGACCATCTTTACATTAAGCCGAGATTTTATTCTCCTCCTTTTCTGCTGAGGCTGCAAGCCTTTTTTTTTTCCTTAGCATGTGACAGGCTTTGCAATTTATGGACGTCCTTGAAAGCTTCCATCTCATTATTTTTGCGCTGAGCTCGTAAACATGGAAAAAGCATTGCAAAAAGCAGCAGTTAAAGATGTAAGCTTTGCTTTTCGGCATTTTGTTATATTTTTTTGCAAATCACGACTGTCATAGAAGTAGATCTTTGCTTCCATTTTTCTCTCTTAATTCTGCTTTGCAAATCGCAAAATTTACGACTTGAGAGCGGGGTGTCATTTAGAATAAGAAAAATGGTGTTTCCATCTCTTATCATTTGCTAAATCTGCTTATCTAATAAGATCTGAAAAATTGCGTCGCACTTGACTTGCAACGCTGCAAAAGCAGTTTTTGTATGAATCTATTTGCTGAAGAGCGCAGAAACTTTGCAGTCAAAAAAATTTCAGTTTTGCATGCGCCGATTCATAATTACGTTCGTAAAAATCTCTTCAGAAATTAATCTCAATTGCAGAAAATAATTGCCGTCAATAATTGCTCCGTAGGCAAAAATTTCCCAAACATTTACTTTCGTTCTTCTTAGCAGCCCTAGTACAGCACTTGCAGAATTTGCAGATAACACACGCATTGATAAGGGCACAGTCCTCCCTCTTCCAAAAATTTCCTGTATTACAAATTCAATCGATAAATCAATATCGCACTCGGGAAGACGGTTTACTGATCGATCGATATTGCAGCTGAAGAACAAGATATGAATGACGATTCACCTGGACTGCGTATCGTTGACGAAGGTGCTGGTCCAAGTGATCCGAATACTGAAAGTAGTGATGTCACAATGTCGTCCACTAACGAAAATGGACATCCTGCACGGAAAAATGGCTTTATTTGTAGCCAGGTACGGTAGCATGTCGATCGATTATTGATTTTTATCTGAATGATCTTGTTTAGTCCTCATTTGCCGATGAACTGGAAGAATTGCGAAAGATTTCCTACGCATCCACTGCCTCATCAACCAGGTACCGTAATCACTTGCCTGCTGTTGGTCAATGATCTACAGTAATCTGATTGATCTCCAGATCAGCTGAGGAAATCCTTCGAAAGCATTCGATGGATCCGGATGAGTATTTGCGTAAAGCTTCATGTATATCTGATTGTTATTATGATATGCCGATCGATACACGACCCAAAATGAGTGATGCCATACCGTAAGTCCTTTAAACTGGGTCTGTAGATTTTTATGAGTTCATTTGTGGTTTTTCAGACATATAAACATCGGTCGTGAATATCAGGCTCGAGTACGGAAATGGAACGATAGAAAGGTAGGACAACGAGTTTGAATATTCTTTTTGGAGCAGATTTGCTAATTATTGAATAAATCAGATTTTTTGTAAAATTCATAGAATCATTCAAAATTTTCTCATTTATTTATTTATTCACTTACTAGCTGAATTCATGACGTGCTGAAACGTGAGTTTCATAATAAAATCACCTTTTTTCCCCATAATTTTTTTTTCTTTTTGCTGTCGTCATCATATCTTTTTTTTCGTTTTGCTCAGTATACAATTTCCTATATGATGTCGTATTCCTCTGGCAGTCCAATATCTATACGAATTCTTTTGTTTTGCAGATTTTTGCAGAATGCATTGAGCGTGAATTCCTTGCTCAGCGATGCGTCAAGCGTGCACGGGATTGCATGACTGACAAAAATGCAATGCGTATATGCAAATTTTTTGGGCGTTTTCTGCATCTGCAGAATTTGATGCATGGGCGTTTTTTGCCTTTTGCGGAATCGTATGCATAAGGGTATAGAATGTGGTATATAAACATACATATGTGGTATTATCATTGCTTGAAAAAGAGTAGGGTAGAGAAGGGTGCATTTTGCACTGCAATGGTTTTTTGCCAGTTTCTGCGTGGGTAGGAATGTTTTATTCATTTATTCATGCAAAACCCACAGAAGATGCACCATTGTAAAAAAAAAGTATAAGTAAGATGTTGAGTAAGATATTATTACAAAGTAGATCTGGTAGATCGCTGGTAGATCGTAGTATCTGCGTAATCTTCCATTTCAAATATTTTGAGTACAATTATCATAGATAATTTATCCCAATAAAATTAGTTTAACTAATCTGCTTACAATTCTTTTTATCCAGGGTTGTTATCTGAAATTAGAAATATTAAGCAGAATGATAACTTAAGATCTTTCTAGATCCATGCTTCCGAACTGGAAGCCATCGAAGATCGAGATGAGATCGTATTCTCGTCAGACATTCTTCGAGACATCGAAAAGGATCAAAGTGAGTTCCGCTTTCTCTTTTCAAGGAACTTTTTTTTATAGCACAAATCTTTTTTCAGTCGAAGCTTTCGAATTATTGGCATGCAGTCAAGCAATCCCGCGGCCCGGAAGGAATAAGGTAAGATTGTTGCTTGGTAAAGTCACGTCAAGTCACGCTGTACTAAAAATCACTGAATATTTTTTCGTGACAGTAAAAAATTTTGTGGGATCTCGAAGATGTTTCACAGCTTTTCTATGACGAATACGTCACTACGAAAAAATTGTACTAATTATCTTTACAAAAATTAAGTTAGAGGGAGCATTCTCGGTTTCTCACACTTTGACTAATTATTCATATAAGTTTGGATCATAGAGATATTAGTCACCCATTCTAGTTGTTTGTCCTCTAAGGTAGATCGTTCGTCTTATTTTTACCCATTTTTGTTTTTTACCTTATCGGTATTATATTTTAGGAACTCGCCCTCCACTTACTCATGGAAAACAAAGGCAATATCGAAGCGGCTGTGGCTGACCTCCTTCGATCAGATACTTTGGACTGGGAGCAGTATCAAATCATCTACGGTTCTTCTTATCTGGACAGTACCTTATGGACTCCAGAAGAAGTGAATGCATTCCAAGATGCTATCTACAAAACAGAAAAAGACTTCCATCAAGTCGCACAAGAGGTGTGTAACTGGTCGAGGCTGCTGTCATTGTTTCTGTCATGACTTTTTCTTTAGTTGCCCGGCAAAACTGTAAGGGAATGTGTGGAGTTCTATTATACTTGGAAGAAAGCCTGTCCAGATGATTACCGGAAGTTGAGGAATCTCCGGCGGAAGAGGCAGTTGTTGGAGTTGAATCTGCAGCAGGTAACTATTGCCCAACCTGGTATAACTCAAGTAACTGTGAAAATTATTGCAAACTCTTCCTAGATGGAAGAAGGTGAACCACCAAAGAAAATTTCCGAAGATGAAGTTGTGTCATCTGATGCTGAATCCGATGCTACAGCTCCGTCTTATTGTGGCCAGGATCCTTTCGAATATCGTGGACGAACGGGCAGTTTGTGAGTTTTTTTTGAATTTAGCTGAAATTATCAAAAATTGTTATTCTTTAGCCCCATTTACGTGCTTTATTAGACTGTTTTCAGTTTTCACATTTTCACTTTAATTTTTGAATTATTTTTCTTCCTTTTCAGCCTTTCCCAATCCGGTGGCATCTGCGTGTCACCACTTCGGGAACCCGTTTCTGCCTCCCTTTCCCAGTCCTTGTTAGGTTTGAGGCCGTCACCACCGCTGAAAGATCTCTCTGGTTTGCAAAGAAATTACCAACCGGTAAGTTTTCACTCTTCCTCCTACCCCTCCACCCCCGCACCCAACCAACACTTACGATGTGTGTTTATAGTCCGCCCCTCGTACGCAACCTCATGCATCAGCCAGTAGTAAGAAGGGTGCGCAACCGAGTGCCGATGGTTTCTTCCATTGTCGGTTATGTGACAAGTGCTTCGAAAAGGTTAAGGTAGGTCGCAGCTTGAAATACCAGTAACACCGTAACCAGTAATTCCATTGCAGTCCCTCAATGCCCATATGAAGTCACACGCAATGAAAGCACGAGCCGAAGCCGAGGCAAAAGCACAGGTTGACGCACAGTTGGCGGCGCAAACGAATCCCGTAAGTGCTACCACAAACTCGCACTTGGATCACTCATATCTGCCATTTAGATTGATCTTTTGCAGTTCCAAAACGGGCACCTCAATCTTACCGGTTTGACGACTTCACTGCAAGGAGTTTCTCCATCATTACAAGGCGTATCTCCATCGTTACCGGGTGTTTCACCATCGCTAGGAGTCTCGACAGCGCTGCAATCCGTCACGAACACTGCCGCTACGGGACTGGCTTTGCAACAGGTAGGGTTACTGTAATACCATTTTTGTAATGATCAGAACGGAGATGCCGTTGTTAAAATTTGAAAAATTTTATAAAGTCTTTTTCTTGATTGGATTTGCCCATTAATGTGTACAATTGCACCCAAATTTCCTAGAATTTGATTATATTATCTTTTCTTGTCTTTTTCATCAAACGATACGATATTGCGTAAAAATGTGTGCGATTTTCATCCACCTTCTTGATCTCCTATAAAACCCAAAAGTCTTATGCCCTTACTTGGCGCACAGATTGTGCACTTGCACATATCATCGTAGAAACCTGTCGACTTTAAAAGCTTTGATCTCGCACCCTGAAAATCGCCTTGTGGTACTCAACTGTAAAACGATAATGCGCATTCATGTTGGAAAAATATATTTGCCATTTCTTGGGTGCGTCTTTCCTGCGCCGCATCTGCCAAATAAATTGATAATTTGAAAAAATGTTGATTTCAGTGCCCTTAAAAGTCAAAAGGCGCAAGTTTGTATAATAGTAGAGAATACACAAAGTAGAGCGGGAGTAGGGTTAGGGTAATTAACTGTAGGGAATTTTGAAGTGCTCACGACCCTCGCGTTTTCGCGAAACTGAATTTTACTGCAAGATTGCTGATACCTTCCATTTAGACAGCACAATTTCATGCTTGGTGTAAAGTTCTCGACTTAATGGTCCGTGGAGAGGTAAAATCACCATGACAATGGGCTTGGCACACATCAATGCTTCTCATGACCCGTTGGCAAGCGACGGGGTTATACTGGTTGGGGTCAGCAAGTTGTTGCAATTCAGTGTGCAAGTGTTGTAATAACTATAAAAATCAATGTCATATACTCTATTTGCGAATATATCATTTTTTACAAATATGGTCTAGTTTGATAGATGTTTTGGTGATATAGTGCATTTGCGGTGCTAACACCATTTGCGCGTAAAAACAACAGCAGGGATCGCATGGAAGCAGTTAGCAGCTCTTCCCTCACCACATATCCATTTTTGCAAAAATTTACTTGCAAGTTTGCGCATACACCTGCGCCACGGCCATTTTTACGCGCAAATGTTGTTGGTAGTGCAAATGCACCATTGAAGCTAATGTGAACCTAAATCCGAATTTTATGAATTGCTTGACCGCGTAATTATCAATGTTAACATTATAATTATTTAGGGACTCCCGCACAGCCTACTTTCACCACAAGGTATTGGCCTACCACATCCACGACCACAGCATCCGCTACTCTCCCAGGTCCATTCGGCTATCATCCATTAGCAGCAGCAGTCACTTGTCCAGTTGTTCGTATAAGCTAGCTTTCCTCTATCCATTTATCAAGGTCATGAATTAGTCACACAGTTAAAGGGACCATGCCTCGTGTTGTCCACTCGGTGACTCAGTTTATGTATCGGGTTTTTTTTATTTTTCCACAGATTTCCAGATTTCTATTCGCATAGTATTAACGCTAATCATTTGTTCAAATCTACACTAAAAATTTTGTCAGTGCTAGTCATTACGCCATATTTATAATGTTCATTCCTATCATATACTGACCCTAAGGTTATTGTGGGGTTTTCCTGGCTTACCCTGAGGTAAGGATGCAGGAAAGCAATCTCAGTTAGGAAAACGCCGCATACCTTCTGTATTTTCCCAGGTCATACCTCTTCCTCTGGTCAAACTCTAAGTTCCTCTACTGATTGTCGACATCACACGGGTTTTTCTCGATAAAGCAGTAATGATTTGACTAACATAAAATAGAGCAGGCTAGAGTTATTTTTTTCTATCTCCTCATTTTCTCTGATTCGCGCTATATTTCCGCCCCGATGATTGTTTGTATTTTTGTTGTTTTGGATGATATCTATGTTTTTTTTTCTTGAAGATAATGATTGTCGTTTAGTGAGCTCGTCTAATGTACATGTTTTGATAATGCATGCTGTTACATACCAGAAAAACATGGGTGTAAATTTATGATGATGAAGATCTGCGATGCTAAAGAAAATGGTCAGTTTCGTCAGGGCAAGGAGAATTTGGAAAAAAAAACAGCGCTGTTGTTATTGGGTTTGTATTCTACAAGCACTTGGGCTTTGAAGTCGCATTACAAATCATATAAAATTGTAAGTATTAGGTTGTCCAAAAAGTGAACTCCTTTTGTTAATAAAACAAGCTGTTTTTGTTTTCCCGGCAGCTTTAGTCTATCATTCGATAGAGTACAGCAAGCTCTACTGAATGACCACCAACGGTCCGAATAACTCATAGTTCAGGTGAAATTTGGAGCCAAAAATCATAATATTCCAGGTACCCTAAAAATCGGATCTCCCAGAAAATTCGTGCGGACCTCCGACTTGGTTATTACACGGAGGACATGAAGCTGTACTCAAAAAATGTATTTAGTCGATTTATTTTTTCAGGACTAACTGAGAAACAAAGGTGGTCCGAAAATGCCAAAGTGCCACTTTTCGGGTATTCGAAAAACTTGTGTTTTGATTTCAAGAGCACATACAGGGGTAAAGTTTCAAGATTATACTTCGTAAGGATACAACGACATATGTGGGGGCTGGCGGAGTTTGCCATATTTGCCATTTTCATTGATTAGAAAATAAAGGATAGGATAATGCATATCGGGCAACAGCGTAAAGATTATGTTCGCGGAAGTAATTTTGCCGTTACTGCCATATAGCTCCAAAATGAGCTTGATTTTTGCTGTCACAATCAGCACTATTTGTCATCAAAATTGAACGGTCTATTGTCGCAAAATCACAATTAATTTGATAATTTTTAACACTTTTCATCAGTTGCACAAAACAACGGTATCCTTTGTTTCACATCTACTTAAAAGTACCATGGATTAGATTTTTTTGTTGGCGCCATAGAACACTTACAGCTTCATCAAATTAGCTCCTCGTATGTGACGAAGAACTGCTATGAATATTGTAAGGAGTTGGAAAAGTGGAATGCAAGGCAGAACTGGAACCTCGATGGAATGGATATGAACATTATTTTCCATCAAAAGAAAAAAGAAGACATCAAAAATGAAGGATTATCGCTGAAGACTCTTCTGAGTGTTTAACTAAGGGTGTTCCTGGTAAAGCCGTTGGGTCGGGCGGCGTAGCAAAAGGAACCAAAGGCCTCGCCGCCTGTATCATTGGGGGAAAGGGGAGGAGCTGGCTGCGTGCCAAAAAGGTTCGGGCCTCTTCCAAGCTCTGCCGCTGCGCTGGTCCTGGCTTTGCCTTTTTCGCTCAGAAATTCTTTGAAAGAAAAGGCTAGTTTGAAAGACTTGGGTTGGATCCACAAGGACGGGAAAGACAAATTTGTGACCAATTCAGAAGTGAGTCCTTTGATTGGGTTTTGTATGGTTTTACATTGATGAAATCTAATTTTATTTTTACACCATTTTCGCCAAGGGAGATATGAGCTAACTTAGCGATAATAGTAGAGTTACAATGATAAGGTGATGATTTATAAAATGATTTTACAAGCGGAGAACTTCAGAAGTAGATTCTATATTCTTGTCATGACAATTTCTCTCTTCCATTCCTTCAGGAAGAAACAATCAAAAGAAACAAAAAGGAAAAGAAAACGGATTTCATTTTCAAATAACACATTGATACAAAAGTCTCAAATGTCCATCATTCTTGAGATGATTTTCTCATTCTTTTACAGTAATTATCGTGTTACCAGAGCTAGCACTAATCGGTAGGCGATTAGTTGACCTATGCAGAGCCAAGCCTGTCTCATTTGAAAAAGATCTCACATATTTGAGAAGAAAAGACTAGGTAAAGAAATCTAGAATCAGTGCAAGTACTGTTATTTATTTGATCCAAAAGTAATGGGGCACCTAAAGAATAAATGCAGTTTTCTCAAATAAAAAAGCTAATTGGAAGTCCAAGTTTTGGCAGATGTTAGTACATAACAAAACCTTCTGATCGAGGTCTATAGTTGGGCACTGTCGCGTGGCGTTACTTTTATAAGCGCATAAAATCAAAGCTCATCACTTCAAGTAATTTTGAATTTTGAGCAGCAGCGCCGCAGTAGAACAAGTGAGCCTACCAAAGATATCTGCGCAGCAATGGGTGAGGGGACTGTCATCAAATCCACGATAGCTCGGAGGTCGCGAGGCTTTAGAACAGAAGATATAGCATTGGGTATCAAGAGACATATTACTTCTTCTTTTATCAAGGTAATCAAATAAGTTCAACCTTAACAGTTGCTTTCTGATAGTGCTTTTTACGCTCTTTCCATACATATGCAAATTACTTCGACTTTTCTCGTTTTCAAAAAATTATGAGCCAAAACATGTTAGTCTGAAATTCTGCGCCAAACACCACACTTTTTCGAATAAAGTGCCTTTTTGTTTGAAATAATGGATAATTTCTGAATATTCAAGTAATCATTAAAAAGAGCTTGGAAAGCTCTTTCGAACGCTATGCCATATGTCGAGGGACTTTCAGATGCAGCAGCACAAATTCGGATAGCGTTCAAAAAAGTCTGTCTGACTTCTTTGAAGCGCCGCTCGAAGGAATGTCGGTAAGGTGCTGCAAGGTCTGTCAAGATAACCTGCGAAGGTCACTTTATACAAAAGCGATCAAATTGGTGATTGTTCATAGCTAGTCAGAAAGAGATCTTGAAGAATGCTTAAAAAATCAAGGTGCCCCATTACTTTTGGATCACCCTAATAAAAATCTTTGTTCCTAGAAAACTGTATTCGCAACATTTTATCTGGGGAAGGGAATAAGGAAGCGGATGGAGTAAGTTATAAACTTTAGAAAATCCGAAAGAATGAGTAAACATAATTATATGCAGACGAATATCTATAAAATGTACGTTAAAAGGTCGTTTTCCAAGGTGGTGGACTATCGAAAATCATACATGAATCGCTAATCGTCGCGGCTCGGTGGGCTCTGCGCCCCTTCGCCTAGCGCTCGACTGCCTTGCGCCTCAGCTCTTGTCCCCAAGGGGCTTCCGCAGTTGCGGGTGGGCCCTCGCCCACAACGGCGCGTTACTCTACACACGAAACACATATATAAACTAAATCAAAACACACAAAATACACGACATAAAAATAAACATAAACATACTTACCACGGGGAGAACCGAACTGCGCGGCAACACGGTGCTCCCCGGCCACATGCTGCGAGAAGCGGTCGATCGCGAGCCGCGACACTGATCAAAAGCGTTGGAGTTGTGAAGTCAACAATTTGTAGATCACAAGGGAATTTGCTGGGAAAGAAATCGAGGAGTAGAAAGCGTCGACGGATTCTTTAAAGGACATAATGCGCTGGAAAATTTTTTCAACGTTTTCTCTCGAATACAAGAATGCTCGACTTTTTGAAAATCATAACCTGATGATTGTCATTGGTCGCGAGGAAGATGGTTTCGCACCTCAAATCTGATCTTGAAACTCTACTGAAAGGTACTAAGCCTTCTCTCGAACCATGTTTGCGTCCAAAAGGTCCTCGATTAAGGTGTATGGCCAGTTATAACATTATTTGATGCTATTGTTGCTTTTTGCAAGATTTGTTCATTTTTCAATCACTTTTTCATTGTTTTCAACCTCGAGGAAAAGCTCTCCCATTGAGTTTTTGCACTAATATGTCAATTTGTGTGATTTAAATTTGCTCTCAAGTAGTAATCTACCTCAATTTCAGTTTTTCCTAACGGTTTTTGGCATTTGCAACATTTTTTTGGCCTTAAAAAAACTCATTTCTCGAATTTTCTTTAATGAAAATCAATCTCTTTCGATATCAAACCTTACATGGGAATGGTCAGAAATCAAAGTGGCCAATCCAGACAAGCTGTATACCATAAGATGCAGCATAAAACGCTGACTTGTAAACTATTTTCCGTATCTGCTTAGTGCCTTTGTAGACGAAGTTATGAGAAGTTTTATTGCAAAAAAAATCGTACAAAAAATCGCGAAATTGAGCACATTGTTGCACTTTCAGCTCAACTTTAGGCCTCAAGAATGTAAAGTAACCTAGCTGCAGGATTTGGCTTAGCATTAAGGCGAGCATGACTCCGTGAGGTTAAATTTGCGCTTTGCGTGCATGATCTCTTAACAAGATTGGCATTTAACGGCTCGTAACTTCGTCCTCAAAGGCGCGAAACAGATACAGAATACAGATTCGAAATCAACATTGTATGCTACATCTTATGGTGTGCAGCTTGTCTGTATTGTCCACTTCGATTTCTGACCATTCCCTTGTTAGTTTCAAGCTGCTATCCATTCTGATTTGTCCTTAATTCCGTGGTCTGTCTCCTGTCCCTGCTCAGCGCACACTGTGAGCATCTCGCGGGCGGGGCAATGGGCGGAGCCTATTCATGACTGTTAGAAGTCTACTGGATATGCAGCGGCATACCCTTGGGTCCTCCTGCGCGTCCTCCACTGGGTAGTATAGAGAAAACGGAGAAGAATGATACGGCGAGAACCGCTTCGCGGCTGCACCACAGCTAACATTTCGCCGCAGGCACGGCGCAGCTGGGACCGGGTCAACCTGTATGTTGTTTGTGAGCGGCAAAGCAAAGGGTTATCGTTTTTGCGGGTTAGAATACCATTGTTGGTTAGCATGGCATTGGTATGTCACTGGTATACCGACGGCATATCGGTGGCATGCCGGTGGAATACTGGCGGCATGCTAACTGCGCGGAAATTCAGATTTGTGCCATAAACGAACAGAAGTCTTGTTTACAATCAAATCGCAATAATATGACATTAGGCTTGGTGTGCTCAGCCTAGGGAGACTCCAACTATGACCCAAAATATATGGAAACTTTGAATGAAACTGTGCTTGTTCTTTCCGAATTTGCTGGGACGGTTCCGGCTGGTTGTCAGCTGAGCTGGGACCGACCTCTTGCACATGATCTATGATCTTTTGTATATTTTTATATAAATTGTATCTTTACTGTAAATGTTATCATACAGA